TGGTGCAGATGCTCTTAAAGTAATAGGATCCGTTATAAAGAATCCTGAAATTCAAGCTATTGTTCCTGTTTTATTAAAAGCATTAGAAGATCCTTCTAACAACACATCAGCATGTCTTCATAGCTTGTTAAAAACAAAATTTGTACATTTTATAGATGCTCCTTCATTAGCTCTTATAATGCCGGTAGTTCAAAGAGCATTTATGGATAGATCTACAGAAACAAGAAAAATGGCTGCCCAAATAATTGGGAATATGTACTCACTTACAGATCAAAAGGATTTGACACCATATCTCCCAAGTATAATTCCTGGGTTAAAATCTTCATTACTAGATCCAGTTCCAGAAGTTAGAGCAGTGTCTGCTCGTGCTCTTGGTGCAATGGTTAAAGGAATGGGTGAAACCTCATTTGAAGACTTACTTCCCTGGTTAATGCAAACATTAACTTCAGAATCTAGTAGTGTGGATAGAAGTGGTGCAGCACAAGGACTTTCTGAGGTAGTTGGAGGACTCGGTGTGGAAAAAATGCATAAGCTAATGCCGGAAATAATTGCTACTGCAGAACGAACTGATATTGCTCCACATGTAAAAGATGGGTATATCATGATGTTTATATATATGCCAGGTGCATTTCCCGAAGAATTTACACCTTATATTGGGCAAATAATTAATCCAATACTTAAGGCATTAGCAGATGAAAGTGAATATGTACGTGATACAGCTTTAAGAGCTGGGCAAAGGATCGTTAATTTATACGCAGAATCTGCAGTTGCGCTCCTGCTACCAGAACTAGAAAAGGGATTATTCGACGAGAACTGGAGAATTCGATATAGTTCTGTTCAATTACTCGGGGACTTATTATATCGTATATCCGGTGTATCTGGAAAAATGACGACAGAAACGGCTAGTGAAGATGACAATTTTGGCACCGAACAGTCGCATACGGCCATAATTCGTTTCTTAGGTGATGAACGCCGCAATAGAGTTCTGTCTGGACTTTATATGGGTCGAAGTGACGTATCGCTAATGGTCCGTCAATCTGCGCTACATGTTTGGAAAATAGTTGTAACAAACACGCCCAGAACACTAAGAGAGATTTTACCAACATTGTTCGGATTGTTGCTTGGGTGCTTAGCAAGTACAAGCTACGATAAACGGCAAGTCGCAGCACGAACTTTAGGAGATCTAGTAAGGAAACTTGGCGAAAGGGTTTTACCTGAAATAATTCCGATACTAGAAAGTGGATTAAATTCAGAGCATCCAGATCAAAGACAAGGTGTTTGCATTGGTTTATCTGAAATTATGGCGTCAACATCAAAAGAAATGGTTCTAACATTCGTACACAGCTTGGTTCCAACCGTGCGTAAGGCCTTAGCAGATCCCTTGCCCGAGGTTCGCGTAGCAGCTGCGAAGACATTTGATTCGCTGCATAGTACCGTAGGATCCCGAGCACTGGATGATATTTTACCTTATATGTTAGAAGGGCTCTCCGACCCGGATCCTTTGATTGCAGAGAATACATTAGACGGTTTGCGGCAAGTAATGTCTATAAAGTCACGAGTCGTATTACCTTACCTTGTTCCACAGTTAACTACACATCCAGTAAACACAAAAGCCTTATCGATTTTAGTTTCTGTTGCTGGTGATGCATTAACAAAATATTTACCAAAAATCTTATCCGCATTGTTAGAAACATTGTCCGAATCACATGGTTCAGTTAATGAATTACAAGAATTAGAGTACTGCCAGACTGTTATTTTATCAGTGACAGATGAAGTTGGAATTCGAACTATAATGGATACACTTATGATTTCTGCAAAGTCAACTAATGTATGTACTCGTAAATCTTCAGCGAGTTTACTTTCTGCTTTTTGCATTCACTCCCCTGGAGATTATTCTCAATATATTCCTCAACTTCTTCGTTGCTTACTACGATTAATGGCAGATACGGATAAGGGTATAATTCAGAAAGCTTGGGAAGCGTTAAATGCTGTAATAAAAGGCCTATCTCCAACTGAACAAATTGGTTGCGTTACTGATCTCCGGCAAGCAGTAAGGTTTGCTGCCAGTGAATTGAAGGAGCCAGAATTACCTGGATTCTGTTTACCAAAGGGAATAGCGCCTTTATTGCCTGTTTTTCGAGAAGCTATTTTAAATGGGTTACCTGACGAAAAAGAAAATGCTGCTCAAGGCCTTGGTGAAGTTATTTTTCTAACTAGCGCCAATTCACTACAGCCATCCGTCGTACATATTACTGGACCATTGATTCGAATATTAGGAGATCGATTCAATTCTGGCGTTAAGGCAGCTGTTTTAGAAACATTAGCAATTTTGCTCCACAAAGTTGGTGTTATATTAAAACAATTTTTACCGCAACTACAAACCACTTTTTTGAAAGCCTTGCATGATCAGAATAGAAACGTTCGTATGAAAGCAGGTAAAGCACTATCGGAATTAGTCGCTATACACACCAGAGCTGATCCATTATTTATTGAAATTCACAATGGCATAAAAAGTTCGGATGATTCTTCTGTGAGGGAAACAATGCTGCACGCACTTCGTAGCATTATTAGTCCATCGGGAGACAAAATGTCTGAACCAATAAAAAAACAGATTTTTTCTACATTATTGGGTTTAATTGGACATCAAGAGGATATTACTAGAAATGCAGTTGGTGGGTGTTTAGGTGCTATGCTAAAATACATGCCATCAGCCCAAATTTCTGATTTCTTAAGTAATAGCATACTGGCAGACAATTCGGAGGATTCATTTACTAAACATGGCTACACAATTATTCTTTATGTTGCTTTAAAAGAATGTCCTAAGGAAGTGTTAGCACCGCAATTTTATGATAGAGTAATTAGCAAAATATCAGTTAATATTTTATCGGAAAAAGTACCCATTGCTTGTAACGCTGTCCGAGCTGCGACATATCTTTTAGAATACAAACTTATTGAAAGAGATGATCCTCCAAACAGCCTAATAGTGGCACTAGCTAGGGCAATGAACCATAGTAGTAATGATGTGAAACAGCTTGTTGCAAAGAGTTGTATTCACCTTGCTAAAAACCTTAGTCCTGACCAAATACATCTCGATGTCTTAAAAATTTTAGTTCCAACACTAGTAAACGGCACTAAAGAGAAAAATGGCTACGTTAAATCCAATTCAGAATTAGCCCTTATATCTATACTGAGGTTAAGATCTGATGAGACAACGTTTAAAAAGACATGTGAAGTCTTAGAAACGGGAGCGAAAGACTCGTTAAGTGATGTAGTATCAAAACTTTTAAAAAGAGTTGCAGTTCATGCGGCTGTAAAGGAAGAAGACTTAGATGAAACATTACAAACCTGATTATTATTACGTACATAATTCGAAGAAATATTAATAAATAATAAAAATAAATATTGTTTCGCATGTAAGAAATGTATACTACAAAAACATATGTCAACTTTCATAATAAAAATAATTTAAGGATTTGTTTGACCTTAATTTGCAATTTTTGGTTTGTTTTCTACAATGCATAAAAGGCATTACAAATATTTGGGACAATAAAATCTGCGAACCTAATTGAAACAGAGCCGATTTAAAACTGGAATCAGCATTATTTATTAATTTTAACCTCAATTTGTTGGATAAAGAAAAATCGAACCTAATCTTAAAGCAATGAATCTTTTTATATTTGAAAATTTTAATGTACATTTTGGAGTATAAAAAATTAACTTTCATCGAAATATCAAAAAATATAATAAATGAATGTGAATACAAATTAGTTAAATTTATATAAGCGCCAAACCAATTACAAAATTAAAGCATTTGTCTTGTATGTGGAAGACTACGCTTTGAATAGAGGCGGAGAAAAAGCGTCCGTGAAAACAGGAATAATTTAAAACTAACTTGTGCGTGCTCCGTGCGGCTCCGTGTAAACCTCACTAATAAAAAGAGCTTAAAGTACACCCAATTTTATTAGGTATAACCATTTAACAAAGGAATAAAAAAGATATAACTGTCATCTTAAGATAAAACTTTTAAATACGAATTTTCCAAGTGTTCCGATGCAAGCCAGTTGAAAAAATTAAATTACAGATTGGGAGTAAAACTGATATTGAGGTGAAAGAATATTTTGCAATAATAGTAGACCGACATTCCTATTCTTGGATTTAAAAAAAAACGAATAATTTAAACATTATTTAAGTCCATGTTGGGCTGCCCTTGAACGTACTTTCTTACAATCTTCTCATGTGTATTTAAAAAGTCTCCATCTCTAATGTAGAGGACGTTTAGTTACAGATTGCAGCTCCTGATTTGTGCAGAGAAGTCTAAAATTTCTTTATTGGGGACTACTTTACAGTTAGGTATCATTATATAGGTGCAAAGCTTCTCGGCATTATTATTATGTTTCCTAATTTTTTTTTCGTAATGTAGATAACACATGACGCACTATCAAATATTGGGCGCGAGCATATTGTGGACAGCACATGCATGCAGTTAGGTCCAAGGACTTTTATTCTATGTTCACAACCGTCATAGAAAATAATCCTGATTTAGGACAAACTTTAAGCAGTGTATCAGATTTCATAATAGACATTTAGTTTTTAACATGTAAGTTTTGCTATGGTCCGATCCCGCAGGTGGGAAAGTCCAAAACAATTAATACAAGTAGATCGTCCTTTATCACCATCAACCGCGACGCCCATGTCTGGGTTTTTTGTGACAGCCCAGATAACGGTGTATATAATTTTTGTTTCAATGCTGGATTTGGCGGCCTTTCCGTATTATACTTGTTTGGCTGGATCGAAGTCCGGGGTTTTTTATTCGAGACAAAAAAGAAAAACAATTCTGTTTGAGTATTCACCAATATATTTCGGCTGCACTTCGGCAACCGTCTTCAGGGAACTAACACAAAAATAAAAAACAATTAACATTAAGATAAATTAAATTTACTTAAACAATTACTTCAAAAAATTAAAACACATTGTTTTACACGTCGGTGCTCTTTGACGTAAAGGATGATACTAACTAGTACATGTATACACCTCAAAACAAAAAACTATATTCGGCAGTTACTGACTGGGAGATACCCTGAATCATGTCTTACCAACGCCAAATGCAGCTCACATAAAAAAGTGTATTAAAATTGCTGCTCATACACACACCACAGGAAACAATACAATCGTCATTGCAGTGCATGTCTAGCTCTTAAGACCTAAGGGATTTGCTCAAAAAACATGATTTCGATATCGATTCTTATCGATCGTTAGAAAACGGGAAAAGTTATCGATTATCTGAGACAAACTCGTGCTGCTCGGGCACTAGGAGGAACTACATTTAAATTTTCAAGTCTATCTCTTATGGGCGCTCAGCTCCTTGCGATCATATATACGGATGAATGGATAAACAGAAAGACGGATATGACTAGGTCGACTCGGCTATTAATGCTGATCAAAAATATACATACTTTATGGAGACGGAGATGCGTCTGCTTGTTTGTTACATGCATTTTCACAAATACATTATTTTCCCCATTTTAGTGTTTATAAAAACAATATTTGTCAATTTTCTCATCAACGGACAAAGGATGCATAACGCGGACAAAGAGTAATCATTCTGGCTTCCTTCTATCAGTAAGTGCATCCAACTTGCAAATTTGCCATAGCAATGCCAACAGGACATCGTTGCTGACATACTGGGCAACAAGAGAGGTGGAGGTAAAAGGCGTCGACTTAGAAAAAGAGGCATGGGCAATTGATTCGCTCCGCCAGCGTCCAGAGCTGCATTATAGCAATTAATGACCCTTCTTCGGAAAATGTAAAGTGTGAAGTGCAAGTCGGGATGCTTTCCTAAGCCGTGATGCAGGAGTCAAAGTTATGCGAAAAAGCTCATTTGCGATCTGAATAATGGGAAGGTGATAGTACCGCCAACTTACCAGCAAACTCGTTGACGATCATTTTAGTATATTAATAAAAAGTTGACGACTGTCTTTAAATAATCAACGAAATTATTTGTTTATTTCGTGTTTCGTGAACTGAGTCAAAAGTAGCGAAATAATTAATGAAAAATAACCCCTGGTTTACTGATCCGTAAAAAAATATCCTCTTCAATCATTTATCGATCAGTCGAAAAATTTCAATCGCACAACTAGCAAAATAAGTTAAATTTATAAAATGTGTTTCCATATCCATGCGTCCAACAAACAACAAATTTTTTGAAAGTTTCATTCATTTTTATTCGTAAAAATATCTTTGTCTGAAAAAACTAAATTTTTTATAGTTGTATTTAAGTACGGGCGACTAACCCATTCGGTATCAACAGCTTTTATATTTTCTAATGTTCCGAGTTTAATCTGATAAAGTTTAAGTTGAAATCTGGGTCCGATTTCCGTTAATTTTATTTCCTTGTTTATATATTTATATTGATGATGTCTGAATGAAATTTTGTCCTCATTGTTAATAAATGAAATTATTCTTTCAGATTTTTCTTTTGGTACAGGAAACAAATGTTTTAAAATCTTTACGGTTCTTAGACCAATGTTGCTCTTAAAATTACTGAAAATTAAGTGCGGTTTCTGCTCACTCATGGTCCCAATATCAGGAATATCATGCCGCATTGTAACGTCGGTTATATTAAAAAAAGCAGTTGGTCCAAAGGGCAAATGACATATCACGAGACTATCAGGTATGCCACGATGCTCATGTACTATTATAAAGTCTGTAACATTATTAGCTCGACAGGCTTGCATTAATGTGTTTAATTGATATTTGCCTCTATTCATTTGTTGGGCATTAGGAAATATCAGTCGAAGCTCTTTCATAAATATTTTTAGACGTGACGACGGCTCATGTGAAGTAGTTAACATGATTTTCGGGTCCTGGCAACCAGCATATTTGTATTCATCAATGTGAGCCAAGGTTTCGCCTTCAATATCTAAATTATACAAAAAAATAAAATATGAATATGTATTTTTCAATTAAGTAGGATTTAGCTCTATATAATCTAATCGAGTGGTGAACAACTTCAGTATTTCAAGGGCTTTTATTTATTTACTTAAGCCATAGGGGGAATATTGTATAGACGTGGAACTGAGTCCGTTTTTGTCGCTGCATCAGCCAATACACCAATTCAGGGTGCAGCTGCCCCCCTTGCATGACTTTCCACCGATTTTAGTTGAAAATCATATTTTGGTTGTCCTGAATTCTCTGCTAAACATTTTTTGGTTGGTATTGGGTTTGTTGAATGTGCTATGAAGATTTTAACTATTTCACGCAATTTTTGTTTGTAAACAGAACATTTGGATTAAAGAGTTGCCTGATTTAATAGTATAATGTTCAGCGCCATCTGTCCGTCGTCCGTATGTAGGATATCAAGGATTTCACAACCTTAACGGCTAGAGTCTTTAAATGTAGATCTTTTGATAAAAATAGATATCGAAATCCTGTTTCTGAGCAGATTACGGGTACTTGGAATTAAATAATTATTAAAAATTAACCATGCCGCAAACTTTAATAAAAATAATTGGATTTCTTGCACAAATAGCTAATAATCGTATAAAATATATAGAATTATTAAACATTGGACGGTATATCGGACAAAATCGACAATAAGACTAGATATTGAATTGCCAATACTTTTGTCCGTGACTATACATAGCTTTATCGACTTCACTGTTGATAGTGACTACGAGTTTACATACTTTATGTTTACTAATTTCCTTTGCGATTTTGTGTAATATAGGAAGACCAAGAACTGACCGTCTCAATAAATTAGTAGGACCAAACGGCCCTTACATATGTTTATATGTATATATGAAGACAGCTGTATACACAAATAGAAAAGTGTGTTTATGTATACCATACCTGGATAATATTTAAGAGAATTATACATGTTAATGCCGTCTAATATATTAGAGGACCCAAACGATGTTTTATCTTTTAAGTTTTCATTTATGATCTTCATATTCTTTTTTTTTGTTAAGACCCGTTCATTTAATGCCTTGTTATATAGGAATTCTCTTCGTTGTCTAGCTTGTTTTCTTAACATTGTATGGTCTTTATTTTCTTAACTCAGCCACGTGAATTCTAAGACGATGTTTAGGTAGTTTTATTATTAAAAAGTTCGATTGAACACGTTATTCAAATGAACTGCTGAACTAATTCAGTGATTCGTGAATGAGTGTCAAGCTAGCGTCCGTTATTTAGGTTCGATTTTTGGAACACGGTTTTGGAACTTAATTCACATTTTTACCTATTTGTGTTTTTAAGCACATAAACAAACACATTTTAATTGAATAATAGTAAAATAAATAAAACTATTTACCGCCTATATTTAATAAGTTTTGTATTTAAGCTTTTAATATGGCCAAATTAAAGACTTTTAAAATAGGCTTATAACCATTCTTTAAATAAATTAAATCAGGGAAAGAGCCTTTCGTTAAACTTAGCCAACGATGGAGATATTCTAGCTTAGATGGAAGGTATTTGTAGAGAAAATGGTATTCTTAAGCATAAATTAATAATTATCCTTATTAACTATATAACTTAATTAAGAATAAGAAAGTCAGCCAGATTAATAGGAGTGATCTAAGGTGGAAAGGATAGAATTGCAGTTGGAGGCCGTCTAGCAGAAGTTTTTTTCCTTTGAACATAACGGATCGGGAACGACTGACTTAGAGACACATACAGTTAACTTAGTAGGAGGTTCCCAATCGTTCAAAGATTGGCCCTTCCCGTATTGCATGAATGGAAAATCTGTTTCTGCATAAGGTAACACATGAATGAATTGCTTCATCCAAGAGAAAGCCAAAGTTTCGAAAAATCTGCCTATTGTGTTAAATGCACCTTGAAGTTTGACTTGTTATACCCAAGATCATTTTGAGTAGCATGCCGTCTCAGGCACATTACTTAAAAGGTTACGTTTTTCCCCTAAGAAGTGCGCAGTAGCCAAGATGATTCTATCCCGTTCCGAGATAGATGGCCACAAAGAGGTTATTGATTGGCGTAACCCTTTGTCATTTCCAAGACGTTGGGAAGATAGTCGAGGTGATGGACAACAACCGTTAAACTACCAATCTCGATGATGGATCAACACACTCTTGAAAGGTCGAGGTTCATTCGACATCCAAATTCTATAGAAGATTTCGTTTAGTTAATCGAGCGAATGGACGGAATGCGTATAGTGACACGCTATATCAAGAAGACATAAGACCGAAATATTTATGGGTGAGCATCTCATAAAAGACGTCGAGAATTGGTCAAAGAACTAGGAGCTACGATGCAACCATACGTTTCGATAGTCCGAACCGCTTTTCAATTAGCCTGAATTGTAGGTGTGGCTGTTGAGTAGAGGCTATGGCAAATGGTGCAGTCTGTCGCGAGTTCGAGCCCTACCGGGGAAACTATTTTATTTTTTGGTTGGTGTGGAGTCGGCAGCAAGTAATGCGGCCAGTTGCAATTTCGAACCCAGCCAATGCAATTTTTTGGTATACACTAAACCTATTGAAAATGGTTAAAAAGGGTATACTGTATTTTTCTTTATTACTTCAAACGAGCGTGTAGCGCGTGCTGCGTTTGGTGTTGGAATAAAAGGTTTCAGGACATTCCGTAGTCGGGAGCTCCCGACTAAAACCTCTTACTTGTTATTCAAGTAAGTTTATAAGATACTCTTATTTTTCTATTTTTCTTATGATACCCTATGTTATTGAAAAAAAAAAGCTGGCAATATTTATTTAAGATTTTTATTTACAAAAATTGTAAGAAATCTACTGTCCAGGGTACAAATCTCGGTCTTACCAGGTTCAGCAAGTTTACAAGACATTTGTTAGTAGCTGGGATGAAGGGTTTAGGGAGTGGGGAAGTGTTGCAAACGTCGCTACCCTGTCTTCAGGGTATCCGCATATCCGAAACGACCGAGCGACCCTCGGCGTTCGATGGATAACGCAAGGGTTCCTGTTGGAGTTCATCTCAACACACACGCAAACTACTGCTAGGATTGTTCTCAGGAGCGACGTAATGAAGCCTTGTCTCTCGATACACTACGCTCTAGCTAGGGGTTCTCTACACCCAGGGATTCCAGAAAAGCCTTCTTGAAGATACTGCTTGTAAATTGTGCCCCGTTGTCGCACACAAACTTCTTAGGCACCCCGAACCTACTTTAAATCATCTCTCGGAATGCAGTCTGCAGGTGTGCCACCATGGCCCTCCTGAGGATGACCAATTCCACCCACTTTGAAAAGGCATCAGCAACATTGTGTTGCCATGTTTTGACCGTGGAAGGGGTCCACGAAATCCGCGCAGAGTACTGCCATCGGCTCCGCTACCTGTCTCGTCAGCCGGTTTAAGTTGCTCGCTCTAGAAATTCTGGCAGATTTAGCGGCACTTCACGTACTTGGCGGCTTACCTTGAAATGGCTTTCCTCACGCCTTGATTCCCGGGCGTGGGAACATCATGGCGTTCTTGCAATAGCCTTTGTCGCTAACCACTTGCCACACAAAGCTTCCATGGAATATAATCCTTATCGTCCGTCCGTTGGCCCAAATGCCTATACTGTTGCCCATTTTCTTCTATATAGTCCGAAAATTAAGCTGGATTTTCGGCGATTCTAACGCGCATACACTCGACCCATTTGCAGAGGCCTCGGCCACCACTGCTTGCTGATAGGTCTCTAGAGGATGCCTTGATAGTGCATCGGCCACGACATTGAGCTTCCGTCGACGGTAGTGAACGTCAAATTGGAACTGTTGCAGTTGTAGTGCCCATCGCGCGATCCTTCCTGAAGGGCTCTCAATAGAGTTGAGCCACTTGAGTGCCAGATGATCCGTTATCACGTCGAACCGGTACCCCTCTAGGTAGCAACGCAACTTCCGGATCGACCATACGATTGCCAGGCACTCTTTCTCGGTGGCGGAAAAGATCACCTCAGCTTTCAGCAACTTCCGGCTCGCATACGCTATCACTCGCTCCTGACCTTCAATCGTCTGCGTCAGCCCTGCGCCGAGGTCATACTCATTTGCGTCAGTCTGCAAGACGAATTTGGCGGAAAAGTCCGAGCAAGCCGTCTAGCTATCCTTCAATTGACGCAATGCCTTCTCCTGTTCTTGATGCTCATGCCAATTTCCGCCCATTCTTTAAGAGCGTCGTTAGCGGCTGTACTTGAGTCACGAGATTGGGAACGAAGCGCCTGTACCATGACGCCATCCCGAGACACTGCCGCAACTCCTTACAACGGGGCTCTAAGGTTATGTATCGCCTCCATCTTCTCTGGATCGGTACGTACGTTCCCCACAAGTAACATGTCCCAGATAGACCAATCTTCACCTGAAGAGGCTGCATTTCTTCCTATTCAGCCTGAGATTGTCCGCCCTTAACTGGCCGAATACCTCCCTCAAATTCTCTACATGCTGCTCTTTCGTTACCGCTATTACCACGATACCGTCTACGTAGGCGGACTCATGAGGCTCCATCTCTGGCACTATTACCGTGTCCAATGCTCGTTGAAAAGTCGCACATGCCGAATGTAAGCCAAATGGCATCACCCGCCATTGGAAAATACCTTTTCCTGGGATTGTGAATGCTTCGCGACTATCAGCTGCCATCGGTATCTGCCAGTACCCGTGCTTCAAATTCAGAGCGGAGATGAACCGGGCGTGACGCAACCGCTCAAGGTCGATACACATGCGCCACTCGCCAGTCTTCTTCTTGACTAAGACGATCGGGGCGCTTGGATTAGCTCATCCACCTGTTTGTCAATCACCCTCTGCATGGCCAGGTTCTTCGGAAAGGACCTTTGCTTCAGCGGCTTGTCATTCTTCATCCGGATCCGCGATATGCGAGACTCCCCGCAGCCCCACAAAGAGTGCCAGTTCCGATTCCAGGAACTCTTTAAGTTCCGGATCCAGATCCGCCGGCCAATCTGTCTCGTCGATGTTGGGCTCACCGTGGGTCTCGCCTCCCCACTCCAACTCCAGGTAGAGCTCCATGATAGCTCCGCTTTGGCGACTGCTTCGCTGGCACATTTTCGCGGTGCCACCTCTATGACCAGCGTAGACTTTCCTCTGCCGCTCTACACGCCTTTTGGGCTCCTCCAGCTCTTGGTGCAATCCCGAGTGAGGTCCCTTCTTCGCTCCCTTCTCCTTGTCCTTTTCTGTCAGTTGCCGAGAAAGCACTCCCGTTCCCTGACGCGGTGGCCTTCTTTCGACTTCTCTATACTCTGCTGCCGAGCAGGTGCTCCCTTTTCCTGACCTAGGAGGCCTTCCTTCGGTTCCTTCAACTTATCCGCCTTTGTCCTTGGGTCGAACGCACTAGTTACGGACCCCGGAGTCACCTGATCGTACAGAGCGGCGGGCAATCGCGGGTCCCTACCCTGCATCTGAAAAGCTGGGCTGAGTCCTGTCGAGTCCGCCACACTTGTGTTGACCGCTAGCAGGAAAGAGCTCCCATAAATTCTGAATACACCCAGGGACTCCAGAAAAGACTTGAAGCTACGGCTTGTATACTGTACCCTGTAGCACACAAACTTGTTGAGCACCCCGAACCTCCTCAAAATCTTCTCTTGAAACGCTATCTGTGCCGCCGTAGCCCTCCTGAGTGGGACTAAGTTCACCCACTTTGAGAAGACATCATGGAACACCAGTAGCATCGTGTTGCCATGTATCGACCGTGGAAAGGCCCGACGAAATGGAAATATAGTCCTCGTCGTTGTCCTCGTCTTCCTCGTCCTTGACTGGCTTTTCGGCGATCCTGGCACGCATACTTGCGACCCATTTGCAGAGGGGTCAGGCACTCCCCTTCCCTGTGAGACTTTCCTTCGATTTTTCTGTATTCTGTTGCCGAGGCGATGCTCCCTTTTCCTGACATGGGAGGCTTTCCTTCGGATCCTTCTCGTATATCCGGTGCAACTCCTGTGCCGGCTCATATATGGCGTAATGCAATAGACCCTCAGCGTATTGTACAAAACGCATTCGCCTTTTCCTCGTCCGATCGAAGCTAGAGGCCAAAGTGATCAATGATCGGAGAGGTAAATCTGACTGTCCTTTTAATTGTGAGCTTCTACACTAAGAAAGTGTCTTGATTCGTCTAGTCTAGCCTCGACGAGGCAAGTTAGACACGCTGACCATTTCTGCCTTGGTAGAGGGATCGCCATTGGGAGCTTCTAAAAGTGTAAGTGCGGAGCTGCAAGTCCGCGACAACAGCAACTGTAACAAATCAGTTATTAGTGCTTGTCAAGGAGATGATTATTTTATATATGAAGAGGAGAGACCAAGAGAAAGTGCCCAGACGACTGCGTGGGTCCCCTACAGACTGCTAGTAGCAACACTTGTCATTTTTGCGCTCTCCGGGCGCAATTTGTTTGTTAGCCCCGTGGGCGGGCTTGGTTAGTGTCACTGTCACTGTAAGTGTTCGCTTTTTGCCTGTGGTGCACGGAACATACACACACATGTGATCACCAAATATAATTTAAAATATGAAAACTCTTCCCGCTTCAATAATAACCCGAATATCAACCCCTGAAGATTGGGCAAAGTGGATTGGCTCCTTAGAGGAGCCGGCTTATTCTAACGGCTAACGTGAGGTTTTTAAGGGCATAGGGCTTCCAAAAATAAAATGGGGCACTGCATGTGGCACCACTCATAGACGAGTCCAGGCTGCCATTGCTAAGTCATTGCGTCGGATGACCAATGTGGGCTGGTTCCACTATTTCAGGAAAGAGAATATTTTCACCGACCTGAATATCTAAATGGCTTGGAAACTAGTAGTTCTAGGTCCAACCGGTTCAGGAATCCTCTAGTTGTGCATTCTATCTATCTGGCTACGCTACTTGACAGAACCACACGATGGAAATCCCTGAAACCACCACCTTAAAATTACTGATTTGGCCCGGGAATCGCTGGGTAATTTCTTTTAGTCTTAGATAACATAGCATTTGATTTAAAGCATTTTATGTTGTATATTTATATTCATGTAAGCCACTAAATTTTAAAATCATTTGAACACATTTAAGTTTATAGTTTATTGTTTAATACATTGACCTATAAATATATACACTTATTGCTAATAATTCATTTTGTAGAGGATTTTGGAAACTTTTATTTATTTGTTTTATAACTTATGTATTATTGATAGTATATAAGCAAAAATTTCATTTTATGAAACTGAAATTAAATTGAACAACTTTTTTTAATTTCTGTTGTCAGTAAATTTACATATAACTGAATTGAGTACGTTTCTACAGAACCGAAAGAATGTCATGATAAAGGTGATTTTACCATGCTCTACCTTGCAATGGCAAATAACCTCCACACTGTTGCTGATGACCATTCGAAATAAAATTATTTTGGTTTCGATAAGCCATAGCTAAGCTATTTGACATAAGAGCATTATTGCAGGGTTGTTGTAACATAGAAGCATTGGAACCTCCAACTGTCCCACCGTAACTTGCTATTAGAGATGAAGATGTATCAGGTGAGTGTGAGTTAGGTGTATCTCCAGGGATCAAATTTAGTACACTCGGTACATTGGCTGTAACTGCAGCTGTTCCAGTTACACCATTTGCATTCCCATTGCTATTATTGCTGTTGTTACCAGAAGTTGTGGAGCTATTATTAAGCGTTTGTGGTTGTGCTGCATTATTTGCTCCAGGGCACGGCTTACCATCCTTTACCAAAACTGGAACAGCGACGCGTCTTGGCGAGCTTGCAGACTGAAAATATAAAATTAAAACAGAATATGTTTATATGATTGTCTATTTCTCCAATCGTTGTTATAAACTAGTACACATTTTTCACTCTTCCATACTCTGAATCCAGATTAAATTACAAACATTCTTGCTTCCGTCTATAATTATATATAAAATACACATACACACACTAAGGCTGCGCAGATTAAACAGTTGCTATGTTACTTCATATCTTAGCCGTCCACTATGCAGTGGTGTTTATTGTTCGATTTTTATGAAAGCAATCAACGCATGATACCCCAGCCAGCCATGCCTTCACAGATAATTTTGATACAATTGTTATTAAATAAATTTTAAAAATAATCTTAATTTACTATAGTATTTTTAAATACAAAAAACAAAAAATAGAAAAAAAAACATTTATTTAGGGTATTATGTGTTTAGGATAAAGAGATAATGAGGGAAATCCCCGACCCGGTGGGGAAGATTTATAGTCTGTCCGACCAGATATGCCTCTGCTCATAGGTGGGTATAGTCAGATAGTTTACGAAGGTATCCTGAAAGTAACGAATTTATTAGGGGAGCGAAAGTGCGCCGGAGAAAAGGTGTAAACGTGATATTGTTATCTTTGTACATTACACACTAAGAGATGTGCAGAGAGTAATCTGTTGTGCACGTTGGTAAGAATCGGGGGCGATAATTCCTGGTAGATCTGGACGGAGAAAGGCGAAGAAGATTAAGATGAAGAAGGCTGCTGGAGAACGATAGTAAGCGAAGATTGAGGTCCCAATTTAAACCTTGTAAGGCGAAACGCATAAATTTCTTTTCAACTGACTGAATACGATCCTGGCTATTATTATACTGTGGAGACCAGATGAAAGAGTAGAATTCAAGGATAGTGCGAACAAGAGAGATGTATAGAAGTTTGCTTATGAAGGGATTATTAAACTACTTAAACAAACGTTTAATCAATCCATGGACACCTATATGAAGTTTAAAGCAGATCTTAGAATCATGAATCAGCCATACTGTGCTGAGGGTACTAGATAATTATCGGCAGTGAACAAGAGATTTTCGGTGAATTAAAATCACCCAACTCGATAAAAAGGTCATTATCACGCACATGTGTAGAAACTTCTCTAATACAACAAAAAATTTTAATATAAACTTAAACATGTAATATAAATAGGGCGTGAAGGAAAAGTTATCTTTACTGAGACAATCTCAGCGTAAGTAAGCGTAGTAAAACAAAAGGTTCCGAATGAAATTGTTCGAAAAAACTTCATAATCAGATATGGTTCAATTTAACCATATTTCTAAAAATGAAAATCGAAGGAAGTGCTAGCCATAAAAATATTAAGGAGCTTAGATATAAGGCCTCTTACATTCTGATAAAGAATAGAGACTAGGTCGGAAAGCTAAGTTATTTTTTTGTGGCAGTAACGGTAGGACCTTGTATCAAAGGGACCGGAAGGGTGACTGGAAAAGGCTGGTAAAAGCCAGCCAATGAATAGCAAGTGGTGTCTAGCTCTTAAAACATAAGTGATTTGCTCAAAAATAGGATTTTGATATCGATTTTTATCTTTGCTTGCAAAAAGGGCAAGGTTTATGATCTGATATCAACGCGTTTATATGAATATGGCTAGATCGGCTTCATTATTGATGCTGATAAAGAATAAAATTACTTTGTAAGGGTCGTTTTTCTCGTTTTATACAAAACCAGTATACAATTTTTTGTGGTCTAAAAATAGTTGTGAGTTTTAACCGAGCACACAATGCAAATGGACTACACAATCGAATGGAATCATAAGATATATATATATATACAAGGCACAAATAATCATCATCGGCATACATTATTACTCGAGAGTAAGACAAGGCATAAGGTTATTACCTGATTGTGTTGATTTTGTTCAGCCATTGCCTTTTCCTTGGCTTGTCGCTTGCACTTATACCGATGGTTTTGAAACCATATTTTTACCTGAAAATATGAATGCCAATTTAGTTAATGATCAAATGATTTGGTTTATTTGGATTAGTAGATAAGTATATTAAATAAATATATGTAATTGAAAATCAGTAAGCGTACAGGGGAGTGCTAGGGCTCCAAGCAGAGCGACAGGGATCGTGAAGATAAATAAAAGTCAATTATTAATAATCTTAGTTTAACGAGTTATAATAATGAATTGTTAAAAACATAATAGTTTCGAATTTGACTATCTGGTCGTTCAATCTAACCTACATCTAACCTAACAGTGCCGTGTTAATCTGTTGTAGCTAATCGAGGCCACGTCCCGTCGTCCGTGAGCCAATCCCGGTATTTGATATTTGTCTTCGACTATCCTTAGATTATTGACGTCACCGGTAGCCATAGAGAGGCGAAGGTAATCTCGAGCAGCTCTTGTTTATATGTTTTGCTAATCGTGTCTACCCGTGTATTGGACTAAACCTAACGGTAGCTATAGAGGGTCGGAGGTAATCCCAAGTTGCTCTTGTGTTACGACCAGCCTATCACCTTTTACTTTGAAGGCAAGGGAACGGTTTTTAGTTAGTTCTGCATCGAAAAAGCACCATTACATTCTCTCACTTCCCAATTTCTTTGATGAAATTAAAATATTATTATAGTACTGAATTTTACCTTTTCAAATTAATCAGGTAAATAGTAAAAAAAATGTTTATTTGTACAGCTTTCTATTCAGTTCCGCCGTGTACGGGCTTAGACAGCTGCCTTGACGTACTCCCCTGTCCACCACTACCTTCGGGTTACCCTTGGTCAGTATCCGTCTGCTGAGAAAGCTTGCGATCCAGTTCACCTCGCTTGCACTAAATATCATGGCCCCAAGTTTGCGTACTAATCTGTCCACCAACACACAGCCGCCAAGACTTGGAGGTTATTAGATTAAAGGTCTTGTACTTTGTTTATCAGATCATTTATGCATTTCGCTGTGGGAGAAAGAGCTTTCTAGGATTATTTGTCGCTGCAATACTTCGTTCAGAAGTGTGAATAGATCTGCTTTCTTTTCTGCTGATAGCCTCTGGAGCAGGCAATAGGACAGCCCGCCCAGACGCGTTCAGCCCCATGACTACCTGATGATGTAGTGTTCTTTTGCTATTTTAATCGGACAATCGGAAAATGATTACTGAGATTTATTTCTCTTGACCTCCCAGGTAGTCTAAGACATGCTTGCATTGCAGAAGGAAAGGTCTAGGGCCGAAGTATACTAGGCTGTGCGAGAAAGTAGGCGATTGGGCGAGGCAAATAAAGCCGGCCCTCAAAGCTGCCCTATCAAGTATGTGCCCTTTTCTGTCGCTGTTGTGGCACCCATATTGTGGATTTCGCATTTGTGTCACCCCCTACGAAGGAGGGGTTGCTTCTCTAAAGTTGACCACGCTTGTGGCAGGTGGCGCTTATAAAATAAATACGTTAATGTTGCTCTTAAGGTTGAGGGTTTCTATGCCTATTGCTTCGATGCTGCTGTCGAGGTTTATGATTTTATACGTTATGTGGCTGCGGATAAAAATTCCAACCCTTCCGTACCCATCGTCCCTAGGTCTTCTATAAACTTATATCCTGGGATGCTACAATCTGCGTTATCCCTAACCCATATTTCCGACATAATTGCGACAGAATTAAGTTGGAGAATTATCATTAGTCATTCTTCGATAATAGGAAGATCTGATATACATCAAGAACTGCATTGCTTCTGTTTATAAAGTCATTAAGCTCCAAAATAAAAGGGTTCTTTGCCGTCTTATCTACCTTCCTTGCGGACGGATTGGAGGAAAGGTGTCTCTATTGAGCAGGTTTGGCGCTTGTTTTTAAAATAGATGGGGATACCTATGCCTGACTTCAGATCTGGAGAGGTTATTAATGATCATGCAACTATGAATGATAAGTGACCACGTGATCCTCCTTGCAATTGGCGAAGGTGGTGCTTGTGCACAGGATGTCACTTCCGGGTGCCACTCCGAATTTGAAGCACGTAGCTACCCTTGCAGTATTGCGCCAAGTGTCTAAACATGTTTAATGTGTATAAACGGACTCATAACTCGATATGTGTGCAATCTTGACATCCGAGGATATCAGAGATTCATCTGAGATGTGAGTGGGGATGTTGGCAACATCGACTCGGCTATTGATGCTGATCAAGAATATGTATACTTTATAATGTCGGAGATGCTTCCTTTTGTCTGTCACATACATTAGCACAATTACATTATACGAATTTTAATGGGTTCAGGGAATAAAAGTTGTGTCAGAAGTAAAACTATACAAGATACTATGATACATACTAAATTTGTTGACTTTATTTCTTAAAACATACGAAAAATGCCCGAAAAAAAACAGGGTTTTGATAAAGACATTCATCAATTGCATGGAAACGAGCAAGTTTTTGATGATTTGAAACAAGCGTGATCCTTGCTTGCCTACGTTTAAAATTTCAAGTCAATATAAAGCTTATATATAGTTACTCAGCATCTAGAGCCGAGTCGATTCATTCATTTCCGTTTATCTTTCGATTCGCGCTGTTCTTGGGCAATATAAGATTTAGATATTTGAAATTTTGCACCCTAAGCACGCCCAAATTACGCCATTGAGCACACTATTTTATACCGGAGTGAAACAGTGTTACATTATTTTTATCCACGCCAAATAGGGTGTGGGAACAGCATAATCTTAGCTGATAGATAGCATAGTACGCTCCACAGTTTTAGAGCAATTAGACTGCCTATGACCTATTTTAAAGAACAAATAAAGATGCAACATTTTTTTTGTGTTCTTAATTCATCTTTATATTTCTAAGGTAATTTCACAAGTCGTGTGTTAAGCTGTTCCATCGTAAAAGTAATACAGGTCGCGACTCAATACGGCCATAACTTACATGCTAAGAAGATGTATTTATCGATAGTAGCTTAAATTAATTTCGAACAGCATTTCTTCTCCTTCTTAGGGGCTGGTAAGAATATCATTCTTGGGTTGTGAACTCGCGTCGAGTGACGTACACTTTCCTTTGTTGGCATTGGTGTTTCTATAGGTGTTGACGATCCCCTTGGTGCTGAGATCAGTACATCTTGAAATAGTGAACTTTTGTTTTCAACTGTGCCCGAAGCTTTCGGTGCTCTGAAGCTATCATTTTCGTTGGCCTGACTGCCCTGTCTATTGTCGGTAGTTAGATCTGATCCCATGCTGTACTCCCTTGGTCTCTGATCTGCTATGTTATCAGCAAGCGGTAAATTTCTAGTTTTGCTGATGTTTACTGTTTAATTTAATCTAGACGATTCATTCATAGGTCTTAGAGCGACAAAACGGAACATTCTCTCGGTGACATCGCGGCTATTTGACCCGCTTGTCCTGTTAAACCCTTTGATAATCAAGGCAAAAATCCTTCTCCAACCAATTTACCAGCAGATCGACTTCGAGCGCTCCCCCATTTTCGAACTTCGTCAGAGCAGGTTGTCAGTTTCTAAAGTTGCAAGCTCGAATCAGATGCGAATTTGAGTTCATACCGCCAAGAGCTCCTCACTTCGGGGGTCTGCAGGAGGCAGGTTTGATGGCGATGGTTAAAGGAGTATATACTCGGACTCCAAGTCCTGATCAAGTGGCACCATCGCCTGCCAAACGTTATCGTGGGAGAGCTGCTGGTCGTCGCCGAGCAGTGGCTAATTCCCAAAGTAAAGGCGGTGCACACAGGGGAGGTCGGCGTCGTAAGAGTAAAAATGGGTTTCCGTCCGCACCTTAAGAGCTGTTCCTCTGAGGGCTCCTGCTGTAGATTCAAGAATCGAATCGAATTTTGTTAGTATTTGCTGTAGTTGTTCTCTCTTACTCTTAGTCTGTCCCGCCACTTGTACTGTTATTGTTTTCATCGCGCTTCCTTCTATCGAGAACATGTCCAATTCTATGTAGTTGGTGTTGACAGAGAATTGTTTGTAAAGATCCCAGTAAAATCAATTTCTTTTGCAAATTGTGAGATCCATTCTTGCCCACACAATGTGTAGCCTGGACTACCTTCTACTACATACAGGCTTAATTAACGTGTAGTTTTTTCATAAGTCACGTTAATAACTACCTGTCCATAGTAGTTGATCCTGTGCCCTGTTTAAAAATGTAGGTCAGTATTCTTTAATCGTATTGAAGGCTTAATTTTCCGAAGGGTCTTTTCATTCATTATGCGGCACGGAGCACCTGCGCCCAGTTCCATTGGTATATTTTGTTGACGCAGATCCGCGCATTGCTTCAGAAAATGAATACAAGACTGGAAGGCTAGTGTTAGTTAGTTTTAGGGCGGAGCAAGAGCGCAATAAACCATTATCACTCGCTCTAGGAGCGAGGTTTTACATGGTTTCGCCGACGCCTCAGTAAGAGTGTTTGGCGCATGTGTATATATACGTAGCCGAAGGTTGTCGTATTTCGCTGTTGACATCCAAATCTAAAGTAGCGCCCCTCAAGAAGATGACTCTTCCCGATTTGATTTGTGCGCCGCTCACCTTCTTCCAGATCTTTGTCATCAAGTCAGAAATCTCATAAGAATACCGATTGAACGGACGGTTCCTTGGTCTGATTCTGAAGTCAGGCGTCATTGAATTTGGTCACATCCTTCGTCATTGACAACATTTGTGTCGAGTGGCTGAAATCCAAGAATGGACGGAGAAAGTTGAATGGCGCCATGTACCTACAATGCAAAACTCAGCATAGATTGATTCAAGAGGGTGCGATGATGATGAATTACTTGCGTCGATGTGGTTGGATGGGCCTTAATTTCTGAAAAAACCAAGAGGGTCCTGGTCAGTTAACCAGCAGCTGATGGCAGGTGAGATGCAAACTCTAGAAGAACGTAAAACAGCCTTTGGACTAGCAACTATGGTAGACCGCCCAGATATCTTGGAAACTATCAATAGTTTCTCATCGCATGCCAGGCTGCTGAAAGTGCTTGCTGATGTGTTCCGCTTTATTTAAACATGAAAATATCAAGAAGTATTTGA